GGTTAAGCTAAAAATAACTAAGGGATTAATGTAATTATGAAATAAAGCAACAGAAGGTATTTGTTCACATACTCAGTTTCTGGTTTGAATTCAGGTTTCTTGTTTGCTTGAAGAGACCTGATCAGGGAAACCACTGGGTTTCTTTAGACTTTCTTCAACCAGTAGCAACCAGTTGTTAAACAGAAAAGGATTTAGCCTCCAAGCCCCTCACCAGTTTCATTGCTCTTTCCTGCACTCTTCCTAGTTCCTCAGCATCCTTATTTTATTGAGGTGATCAGAACGGGACGTGGTATTCCAGGTACAGTTGGACCAATGCAGCATAGAGCAAACAGGGTAGGAGTACAATGGCATGTGAGATCCTCATCATTGTCATGCTTCTACTGTACTAGAACCCAGTCTCTTGACTATTTGATCAATTAGACACTTAGATCTCTTTTGTCACATGTCTTAACCAGAGGGAGCTTCACTGAAACCAGTTCCAGATTCTTGAATATCTGCATCAGGGCTTTTGTACAAGAGTACATCTACCAGATTGTTCACTACGTGGCATGTGCTTTACTTTCGTAACGTGCTAGATGCAGTCTCAAGTATCTCCCAGTATCTCAAATAGTTAAAAAAAGAAAAAAAGATCCTGCAATATGGCCAAAGAGCCATAATAATTCAAGAAGCTGGACCTTAAGCTGTTCCATAGGTTAAGCTAAAAATAACTAAGGGATTAATGTAATTATGAAATAAAGCAACAGAAGGTATTCGTTCACATACTCAGTTTCTGGTTTGAATTCAGGTTTCTTGTTTGCTTGAAGAGACCTGATCAGGGAAACCACTGGGTTTCTTTAGACTTTCTTCAACCAGTAGCATAACGAAACAAGAGTAATTGTTTAGGATACAGAAACATCCCCCAGTATCTACCAGGTACTGGGAAAACATTGGGATGAAAGGAAGGAGGGAAGTGATACAATCTCATGGCTTGGGAATGAAGGAAGGAAGTTAGTCATACACAATATCTGTTTCTATAGTTATAGAGCTCTGGTAAGCTTTCTGCTGTGAATTCAGGTTTCTTTTACACAAATGTTGTCTGTTTCAGTTGAAAGGTGTTTATACTGTTGGCGAGCAAAGTAAACTCCAGGATGTACATATTCACAGCGTGATTTATTTAGTTATAAGAGCCAGATGATCGCTGCTCAGATCTTCTCTTTAGTTCACAGCCGAATAAAGTTTTTTGCTTCATGTGTAATTCTGAAAAGCAGCTGTTCAGATCTTCAAGCAGAGAAGAAAACGTGGCTTGGAAAGTTGGACATCCCATGGTCAGGAACTCTAAATGACCTCAGGCTAACCCTTTCTCATGTGGTAGCTCTCTTCGTTCACAGAATGTTATGGGAACTCCAGGCAACATATTCTATTCATAATCTTGGGTATTCCGTTTTCCCCCCGCCCACAAAACTTTCATTAAGGAGGAAAATAGAGGACCATAGTACAGAGTGTCTTTTGATTAAGAAATTCTGAGTATGGATGTAGCCTAGGAACCTGTTCCAACGTCACAATACAACCAGATTTCCTTACTGGTGACTTTGGCAATATAGAATCACAACTCCCCAAATAGATAATATTCAGAAAGTTTAAATATAACCTCAGAGGTTGTATCCAATAATGACTTTCTTCTACAAACAGTATCGACGAATCAAAAGGATTCTTTCTCCCACCTCTCTTTCCCATTTCTTGAAGAGGAGAAGGTTGAAGGAAAGGAGAGGAGAGGAGAAGGTTTCACTGTGTGAGCAGAAACACACTTGAGCAACATTGGATGTAGCCTTCTGAATGTAACCCTTTGTTTAAAATACCACGCAGTTTGAAGATTTTGTCCCTCTACCCTAATTAATTGATGAAAGTTTTGATAGTCATTCATAATTTCCCTTCAAACCGTATAATGTTAAATGGCTTGAAATGCATGTTTCTATGCATTGCAATCCACGGAGAAGGATACCTAGATTTTTTGTGTAACAGAACATCTGTGAACTTTCAAGTTGTACTTTTCGTCACAGACTACAAACTAATGATTTTTTTCTGTCTATTTCTTAATCTCTGCAGAAGTTTCCAGCAGAAGGACTGGCAAATGTTGTTCGAAATGTCTTTGATTTTGATTCCTACCACAAGGAAATGCGTGAGATATTAATTAGGACTTTACATAAACATGGAATACCTATTGGAGCAAACCCCACCAATGTACAGATGGCTAAGGAGTAAGGTTAATTGTGTGCCATATTGCTGCTAGTTATAAGAACTTGGATTGCTTGAAGCAAATTCCATTTATATTTTCCTCTAAAAAGGTTATTTGATTGCATAAATATTTATTTATACAACATTATCAGTATATATTTACAGGATATGTCAATATGTATAAATGGAATAGTTTTACCTAATTAATATTGGTGATTTGTACAATGAAAATAAATAAAGGGAAATATTTGTTTGATTTTTCTCAGTTTCTATTCATTGAATGGTCTTTTGGTGATTTATCACTGTAGTCTGTACAAAACTGGTTCGTAACCCTTTTAAAAAAAATTGAAAGTGAGTAAACTGACTTGGCTTTTAATCCTGCACAAATTCCTCAAAATGCTCCTGCATGTTCCTGTAAAAATAGACACGTGCCAGACAATTTCACAAAAGTATTGTAAAACTTCAAATTAACAGACCTTGATTCAATGGGCTTTGCTTGCAACCAGTCAAATTTCTCTGGTGATTTACATCATTTTTGTAATGATGTCATTACATAAATTATGCAGTTCATCAATACTTTTGTATTGAACAGAAGTTTATGAATAACAGACACCCTTCTCCCTCAATTAGACCACTGAAACTAGATTTTGTTGTATTTCTTAGACCCACAATATTCCAAACTTTTTTCGTGGTATCCAGTTTGCTTAATGGTATTTATGGATTCCCTGTGTTTTGGGGTATTTATTTACTGACATCAAACACATCTCACTGTGTTTAAAAAATAATAATAATAGTACTTTACAAGATCACATTTTTAAGCTCAAACCATCACAACATTCAAAAACTATTTTAAACTGAAACAAGTATTTCCCTTTATACTACGAAAGATTATGTGAAACAGACTTTTTTTTTTTTAAGTTGGGGGTTATGTTGTTTGTTTTTTGAGATAAGTTAAGGAGGATGACAAAAGTCCACTTCTTTAGCTGTAGGTCTCATTAAGTGGTTAGTGAGTAAACCATCTCTATAATCATCCCTTAACTGAAATACATAAAATCTTGCAGGCAAAAGTACAGATACTACTTCAATTACTTCCCAAGGTTATCTTACAATTCCTCAAATATGCTAGTTTTAAAACATGGATCCAATAAACCGTTAAACACTTTCTAACAACTTAGTAGTTATATTATACCACTTCAGTGTGGTACAGACACCTCTTAGAGAATATACAAATTGATTAAAATTCCACCAATTTTGTCTTCATTACTTTGGTACCCTTGTTATGTTTTGATTTTTTTTCCTAAAAATCCTCAGTTTAAGTTACAATGAATCTTTTTGGCCTACAGTATTTATGAAAGTCAACTAGATTGATTGGTTAATGTGTAAGTGATGTGGGGAGAATCCATGTTATTTATGGATTCTCACCTTCCTGACAGTGATGATTGGGGTTGAGGAAATGTTAGTAGCAAAACCAAAGGGTAGCTTAAGACAAACAGCTAACTACATTTCTGTATAACCAAAGCTTGTGCTTCCAAACGTTGATCTATTATTGTTATGGAGCTTCTGATCTCTCTACATTAGCTTTCTCATGCAATCGAATAGTGTTAGAATCAGATTACATTATGTTCTGCCTGTCTTCACTGTGGTCAGGGTGGAGTGGAATTATCCCAAAATGCAAGAAGTATCATTTGAGGCTGCTACCTATGGAAAAAGTACACATCCTCCAAGAGGGAGGCAACTTTACAAAAGTTAGTCTATGATAAAGGATACTATCAATTGTCCTTTATCTTTTAAATTCTATTGTATGTCAAAAGATTTGAGGAATGCCTCCTGATCTGAATCACATCTCATTCTCTGGTGTTTTTTTGACCAAGAACTGATGAGTTACTGAAATTATTAGCAAACCTTTGCAATTCTCCAATTATTAAGATTTGCTGAATGGTCTTAATAAATTTATCTCGTCCAACTCAGCCTTTCAATATTATAATATCCAATACAAAATGCTTCCAAGTCTCAGAAGTATGCAATCAAATAATTGGTGCTGAGAAAAAAAACCCAGCTCTAATCACTGCTTACTGAAATAACATTTTGATAAGGTTTAGTGTGTTATGATTGCTGAATATTGATTTCAAGGAAACATTCAGCAATATTTTAAGTAGTTTTAGTAGTTTTTTAATTGGTTTAAAATTGTGTAACTCTGTCATCTCTCAAGAGCATGCTAACTTCTCCAGTTTCTCAGCAATAATTGCTTCTACCCTGGAGTATCTCTCTTAATTGCTATTTTTAATAAAATAATTGCCCTTGGGCTTCCCTTTAGTATGATCCAAAGTCTGCTTTGGTCTACTTCCATTCCACTAAGTGTCTTCCTGTATTTGAACATTTTTATGGTCTTTGTCATGGAGGTGGAAGTGAAGACAAATACTAAGGATGGATAGCCATAAGTTTTTAATGAAACAGATAAAAGGACACTGTAATTATTTTTTGCTGTTGGTTGTGTCTACTGTGCCAAAGCCTTTCTATTGGAGAGAAAAATTGTCGTGCTTGGATTTTGGGATGGCACCTCCATGGTTCTTTTCCTGATTCCTACACTATGTGGCCTCAACCAAGGAGATTATATTCTGATTTCTCTTCTGGCCAGTGCTAGGAGTACCCTCCTTTCCTTTTGTCTCTTGACATGCCCACATCTCTCTTAAGACGGAAGAGCTTGGCATGTTTGTTTACATCAAGCCCTGCATGGCTTGAGGTCAGCTGAGATTATTGCATTTCGTTGGGAGATACACATGTCTTTCTCCCCAGGGCCAGCATCAGAGTTCAGACATTCTTCCTCCCCTTCCGCTTGCTAGCCTCTCAACTCAGCCCAATCCTGCAGGAGAAAGAGAGCACACAAGGCCAGAACTATTCTGTCCTTTGCTTGCCAGTTCAGATGACATTGGGTACAACCATACAACCACAACTCTTGCCTGCTGGCTTGCTTTCTGCCGTCCTTCGCTGAGCTATGGGCTGAAGGAGTAAGCTCTGGTGCTGATGGAGGACACACAAATCTACCTGTCTTATTTTCTAGGCATAAGCATTACAGTTTCTCCCCTCATTCTTCCTCTATTAAACATTTCTTTATGAGGTTAATACATAATACGGTTGCTCAACATAAATAAAGCTGTGGGTTTCGCTACAGTTTGTGAAATATTGATAACAGAAAGTGAAGGATGTTGTTTGCAACTATAGGGTATACATTTTCTTTCCCATTTCTCTCTGCTCTCATGCACTTGAGAAGTGCCGCAATGATTCTCCATAGCACCCCCAGCTGTTTGGAACTATCTCCCCTGATAGGCAGTTGGCCCTGATGTTGCAGTTGGGTCAGTTAAAACCTGGGTCGTTAACTGGCATTTGGGTCAGGATGAGTAGAATTTCCCAATTGGTGAGCTGCAGTATATTTTAGTCCTGATCCCCATGTAATTAAGTTTGCTTTAGTGGTATGTGCTATTTTTCTTTTGTATTTTTGTTTAATGATTTTGTATGTCGCCCAGAGTCACAGTGTTTAAGTTGGACAGCCATATAAATGTTCCCAATACTTTTAAAAAAAAATATGAAAATGAATCTAGAATTTAGGCACAGTCAGATAAATTGTCTTTCCCTTTTCGTAAGAGGAGCAAGAGAACACACACCACAGGCTTACAGACATTCTCTGATTGCTGTCCTAAGCAATAGGTGTGATCCAGGGCGTACCTCATACTTCATATTTACATAATCCAAATAGTTAATTAGTCCCAATTAAGTAATGATACAGTTTGGCAATTGTGCATATTTTTTTCATTTGCCTTTATTAACATCCCTCTGTGCTGAGCCGGATGTTGAAGTAAAAAGATCCATTGGTTCATTAGTAGTTTCTAAGTAGCCTTGTTGCAATTTCTGAACATGCTGGTTGAATTTCAGATCCTTTGGCTGTGAAACTGAAGGATAAAATAAGTCAGGAAAATATAGATTCTTACTTTTTCTAATATGAAAACAATAATAAGTATTTTGATAGTTTTCTCTGGCCTCAGGAAAGGAAAATGAAGAGAACAAGGGCTGAGTGAACCAGTTCTGCCTCTTCCTTGCCATCTGCTATTTATAATTGCTTCTGTATATCACTCCAAAGATCCTGTTTGTACCCCTAAATAACCATCCTTCAGTATCTTTTCATTGCTGTGGCAACCATGACCTTACATGAGCCATTTTCTTAGAACAAAGAGGAGTGAGTATAATCATTGAATACCAGCAAAATTGTCCTTTTCTGATGCCTGTACAAAGTAAATTATTTTAGTCACAACAGCTTTTTGAATTCTGTAGACCACTCCCCAAATGTTCCAAACTCAGAGCCATTACCATCTCCCTGTGACACTTTTACATCATTACTTACTTACAGACACTTACTTCTCATGCATCTATCTTCAGCAGTAGGATAAAGAATGTCTACACTGTGAGTAGGCAAAGCAGCAACTTGGTCTTTTGAGCTCATCTGTGTGCAAGCATAATTAGGTACTGCTAAAGATGAAGAAACCTCTCATGGTTTCCCCATATATTGAAGGAGCTTTTTATGCTGTTGTGTAAAGGACTCATGGAATCTCAACAGTGTGACTCACATGGAATTGTCTGCATCCTGCCCAGTTTCCATGTTTAGTTCTGTGCAAGCATAATCTTCATCTGTTACCATTGAAGGCATTGAAGTTCAAAGAACTTTGGCTACAAGTCTAGACTCCTGTTACTTGACTTTTACATTTCTTTTCACACTGTTGTGAATTATAAGGACAACATTTGCAATCATTCCCTGCTCTCCAAAGTTAAAAATCTTTAAAAAGAGACTTCTTTTGGTCAGGTTTTAACTATTGTTGTCATATAACGTCATAGGAAATAGCAGCTTTAATAGTAGAAGTCTGGCGGGATTGAAAAACTTTATTAACCGATTCAGATTATGTCACAATCTAGGTAAAAGTATGTCCCATTTATATCCAACTCTAATGCTATGTTCTGATTTGTATTTGTATTTTATTCCGAAGGCAGAAAACTCTCTTGAACATGTGTGTTCCTGTAGACTCAGTCATTAAATAGAAATTATTAATGTATAAATGCCAATATTAAAAACTAGTCTGGATTGATGAGAATCATTCCCACTATTTTTATCTGGCATCTGTGTATGATCTGTTTAAACCTTCAAATATTTCATTCCTCAGTTCCTCAATTATATCTTTTCAAATGCTGTTTCACAAATTCCTTTATATTTTCTAAGAATCTAGTTGATAGAGTTTCTCCATTAAAGAGTTATTCCATATGTCAGAACATAGCTTATGTTTCATGGACCATCAGAACCACTAAGTCTTTTTTCCTATTAAGTAACTTTTACAAGTGGAATTACATCCTGCAGAGTAGCATTGTGATCTTAAGACTGTGCTGTAACCGGTTGAAATTACGTTAACAAGAGAAAACAAAAGTATTGTTGACTCAGAAATGTGTACTAAATTAATAATAGTGATATTTTTCTGGTCAGATTGCCATTGCCAGGACCAAAATTTATGGGCTACTGGAAAGTCAATCAGTTGGGGAATTCACGACGAAGACTGTTGTGTCCTACGGAAACACATCGCGTAGATGTAAAGGTCTGTGAGATTTGGTACAAGCTTAATATTGACCATAAGCCTGCATGTTTAGTCAGGGTTAAGTATTTGCAGTGTGCAGCCCACCAAATCTTAAGGCCACAGAAGGTACTTAGCAAAGATGCACACTTAAAAAAAAAGAATCACAGAATCCAGGTTGAATATGGGTGATGATTTTCAGATTAAAGAGAGGAGGATTGCTAGTTTGCAAGTGATTATTATAGTAAAGAAATATGCAGTGGTCTAAGGGTGGACGGGCCAAAATGGATGAGCTTGACCTGATTCCGAAACCCTGCAATGGCTGAGAATAAAATTTGGTGGCAGAATAGCTAAATTTCAACCACACCATTTTGGTTTATTTCATTTACATATTAAGGATGAGAAGCAGAGCAGATGGCTTCTGGGAGGCAAAGTACTTCCATTTCCATTTTTAATCCCTCCAAAACAATGGCCCCAAATAACAATTTTTGTACTGATTTTGCCACTTTTTGGCGAGTTTTAAAGGTAAGTACGTGGCTCCCATCTCCCCTTATAAAATCTCATTAAACCTTCAAAATGCTCCCAAATCAGTATAAAAACTGAATTGTGCCTTTTTGGGGGCAAGGGGAGAGTGCCTTCCAGAAGCATTCTGCTCCCATTCTTACCCATACCCCTCAAACTTGAATAAAATGGATCAATAAATCCAGCCCTTCACTTTCAAATGAAGTCACTGCATCATTATATGGCTGCTTGCACCCCATTGGACACTCTGCTGAATTGCGTTCCCACTGTCCAGTGCTCAAATATTGCCCACTACTGGGTTGTGAGAGCCAGCCTGCCTGCCTGCCTGCCTGCCGGCCTGCCTGCCTGCCTGCCTGCCGGCCTGCCTGCCTGCCTGCCTGCCGGCCTGCCTGCCTGCCTGCCTGCCGGCCTGCCTGCCTGCCTGCCTGCCGGCCTGCCTGCCTGCCTGCCTGCCGGCCTGCCTGCCTGCCTGCCTGCCGGCCTGCCTGCCTGCCTGCCTGCCGGCCTGCCTGCCTGCCTGCCTGCCGGCCTGCCTGCCTGCCTGCCTGCCGGCCTGCCTGCCTGCCTGCCTGCCGGCCTGCCTGCCTGCCTGCCTGCCGGCCTGCCTGCCTGCCTGCCTGCCGGCCTGCCTGCCTGCCTGCCTGCCGGCCTGCCTGCCTGCCTGCCTGCCTCCATCCATCCATCCATCCATCCATCCATCCATCCATCCATCCATCTATCTATCATCTATCTTTTCAATTTACATGGGTGCCCATCTCAAATTCATGACTTTGGGCAACCAACAGTTAACAATACTTTAAAACGTATAACTGTAAAATGACACACATATAATCAGCAGCCAAGGTGAAAAAACCAAACAATCAACAACAAATCAACATAACCATTACACCGGCTCCGCCCCACATCCAAATCTACAAACTCAGTGTCAAAACCAATGTCTTTAAGGCCTTACAGAAGGCCAGCAGGGTTTAAGAGTTCGCCAGTATATTTACTTATTTATGAGATGCATACTCTACTTTTCAGCTAACAAGTGGCCCTCAGGCTTAGCTACTCAACTAGTAGGTATTATTTTAAAAATGCACAGAAATTAGAATGGGTAGAAGGTACCATAAAATAGCAACAAACCCAGCATCTTCACAATTTTATCAGCCAAGGTCTTGCCAAATCCCATCAGATCTTCTCACCCCTTTTGCACATGTTCATTTGCACCCGCATCAGCATTTGAGCTCCTGCCATTGTAACTGTTCATAATTCGTGTTCCAGATGACTTTTGGTCCTACATTAGGCTTCTTCAGCAGTTGCACCCATCAACTAGTCTTATAAGCTAAGAAGATTCAGCAGTGGTTGTCTTGCTTCACATAATCTGCTTTGCAAGTTTTGTGGAGGCGTTTTGTTTTGTCAGGGTGCAAAATGACAAAACATCCCAGTTTGAGTTTCAGTACTTTTGTTATCCCTTTCTTTTAGGGTCCAATGTATTTAAATGTGCAGGCATTCCCACTGGAGCGGCACGAAGCAAGAGCCTTGAGTTTTACAGAAGAACTAGCATTTTGGGCCCTGCCCTTGAACGAGGTTAACTTAGTGTGTGATATTGCTACGTCACAAGGTAGAGTAAGCACTTTGTTTCCCAGTAAATAACTAATGATTGAGAAGCTGTGCAAGTATTTAAATAAATATTGGTATAAATTATTTTGCTTGCAGATAGAGGTAAGTCCCTGAAGAATGTCTTTTGTGTGCTTTGTCTCAGATGCGGTTGTCCGTTAAGTATGAATCTAACAGCATGCACGTCCCTCTTAAAGAGTTAACCGTGTTGGGCAAACATTCTGCAGAATAATCCTTATTTAGTCCCTACACTCTTGCTGTATGACTAATCCTTTCCCCTAGCTGGAGAATCACCCAAAGGATAATCATAATTGCCTTGCATTCACAGGGAATCTTCCAGATACTTGTCAAAATTATGGTAATGAGTATTAAACTGGCATTGAATGATTTTCTGGTGGAAAATATAATTTTGCATATCTATTTTGGCTTATGGTAATATTTACTTTCAGAAATACAGTACCCCCTTCTAAATTGCTGTAATTCAGCTGAGGCCAGAGCTGTGGACTTTCTGAATACAGAAAATTCAACCAGTGCAAAATACGGGAGCCAATTGGTTTACTGGCCAGTCTCGTTACTACCAAGCTACTGTACATCAATATGGTGTGAACTGCATTGACTACTGATGTGTTTCAAATCCAATTCAGGATGCGGGGGGCCATATATAAAGCCACATGTGGCTTTCCAAGGTAGATTGTGCCCACCCAACCCAGATGGTCAGAGAGCACTTGCTTCAGTTCACCCCTCATCTTGAGGTGCATCAGGAGGGGGGCTTGATGGTAGGCATTCTCCGTGCAGCAGCTTTCTCACCCAGATGATGGTGGTTTCCATGGCTTGTAAAAATGACCTTCCAGAGGCTTGTAAAAATTTGGCCTTTCCAAAGACCCTTTGGTGAATTGACTCCATGTGGAAGGGCTGGAAACTCCTGGAAGGGTTTTATTAATGGTATTGATTGTTGTATTATTTGCTAATTGGGCTATATGTTGCCTAGAACTCTTTGGATTGAGCTGGTAAATGAACCCCATCAATAAACAAATAATTACATGAAATATAGTTAACACTTGGCTGAAGGTTACGCAAATCTTGCTGCATCATTCTGCAGCTCATACAAATTATTCAGGCCATGGGCCTAATTTCTCTGATTTTTGAATGTCTGGAATGATTAATTATTAAAATAGCTTCTTCTAGTCATGGGGAAAAGCAAAGCCCTCTACCAGGTATTAGATTCTTCAATATAGCAATATTTTGGGCCATTTGATAGAGCACATCTTCTTTATTCACATATCTACCCTACACATGTGTAAAGTGGGAGTTTATTTTATCTTGAAGGACATGGAGAGTGCAGATATATATAGCTTTTGTCTCATTAAGTTCCTGAGATTTTGCTAAACCCAGCCCACAGACTTTCAGCAAATCTCTTTAGCTGTAAGATTAGAAGTGCACTCATTTCTATACAGGCACGGGATCTCTCCTGCATGTACACAAAGAGAGTTGTAATACAGTGTTGTAAAGGATAGTACATAAGAATGTTTCTTTCTCCATATATTTGCTCTCTAACTCTAACACATAAGGTAACCTGGAGAAAAGAAATGAGGAAAGACTTCTTTGTGTGATGCTTCTCTGTTCTGACTTCCAGGGTACCGTACGTGAATCTAGAGTGACAGATGACATGTGCATTCTTGTCAATGAAATAACGATCTCCGATGATTATAGTTATGTTTTGATCACAGAGAAATCTTGAACTTACATCTACTCTGTTTTATTTTTGCCCCATCTCATGAAAGAGTATGAAGATGAAACTTCCCTTTATGTGGCAACCTGCAATCCAGTGTCCTTATATTTTATGAACATATCTGGTAAAAATGGATACTACATGGACCTCTATGATATCTTTCCACGAACACTTCGAGGCATGTGGCAACCTTTTGTCAGACTGGCACCCCTTGGTAATCCTCTCAAAGGTCAAGTAATTCTCCATGAAGAGCAGGTAAACAGAATATAACCAATTAGTCTAAGATGATCATCAAGGACTGGAATCCATCCTATTTCATGCTATTCATCCATCCTATTTCCCCAGTATGGCTGTCTGGGGAATTCTGGGAGTTGAAGTCCACATGTCTTAAAGTTGCCAAGGTTGAGAAACACTGCTCTAGTTCACCCTAGTGCCTGCTTCCATTAATTGTAAAGGTCTTACCTGTAAAAAGAAATCTTGAGTTAGAAAATCTTCTGATAAGGAATGCTAAGAGGGATTTGTGATACTCTGATAGAATGCAGAATACAAGTAGATTTGTAATGAATTTCCGTGAACAAAGGTGTATCGGCATCTATTTGTGTAATTATTTATCTCCCGCCTGTCTTTGAACAAATCAAGATGGCATACATGGGGCTCCCTCTTCCTATTTTCCTCACAGCAAAAAACCTGTGAGTTGGGGTGGGGTGAGGGGGGGTGGGGGACTGGCCCAAAGCCACCCATCTGGCTTCCATCCCTAAGGGAGGACTAGAACTCATGGTATCCCCAGTTCTCGCCCAGCTGCTTAACCACTAAACCAAACTAGTTCTGGTCTCCTAGTTGGGGATCTTGAAAAGATTATATATATCTTTATATTTGGAACAATATGGGTGGAGGGTATCTTTTAGGAAAGAGGTAGGCAAACAAATTCATAATAGGCCTTCAGTTGATCTTTCCTTTCTTGCCCATATTATTTCCTCCAAGTCCAGCACCTTAAGTATTGCACCAAATTGGCCCTCTGAAGTAGGGATGTAGAGGATAGACTTCCTCAAGACAGGGGACATTGGCAAGAGATTTTCCCCATTTTATGGGAGCCTCATGCATCGTGTCAGCCCTTCACAGAGAGCAGACTAAGAAACCAGAGTTATGAATGCTAATATTACTTTTATTATAAGGTTACAATAACAGAATCTTGCAAGTGTGAATGTGCTTCCCCGCTCCCTCCCTTTATCCGCATGAGGACTAGAGAGGGTCAGGTCTGAGACACTTTCTGAAATTATATTTCAGTCCTGAACTCAGATTTCTTTTGTCTGACCGTTGTCTTGGTTGCGGCTCTTCCTCCTGTTCCTCAAGGTTGTTCCCACTGTCCGTTACATGCTGTGATCTTTTCCATGTGTACTGTGAGAACTAGTGGAGTGCAGCAGCTGTTCAGGAGCTCTGAAAATGATTGTTGTTATTATTAAACTTCATGATTTGGACTAGATCATTTGTGGGCATTTAGCTAAAGAGCAGCTTGTCTCATGGCAACAGTTGGTTTTCAACTTCCTTCCAAACCTTCCCTGCTTTAAGCCAGAAATTGCTGTTTTATCTATAGGTAGTTTTTTTGGAATCAGTATCACTTGTTTGAACAGGAGCTGTATATTACAGCTAATGCTTAACTGCCTCACCTCTTCCTATACATGCAAATCTGATAAGGTAATGTCACCTTTGCAAGCTTTTGTGCCCTTTATTGAGTGCTGTCTTTGAGAGCAGAGACAACAGACGATAATATAACGTTCCACATTTTGCGTTACTTCCTGGTACATTCTGGACCGCTGCACTATGCTCTACATGGGGCTGCCTTTGACAACAACTCAGAAGCTGCAGTTGGACCAGAATGCAGGGACCAGTCTGGTGGCAGGAAAAACCCACCATTGCAGAGTTTCACCTATTTGGGGTTTGCTGCAAAGTGCTGGTTGTTATCTGTAAAGCTTGATGCAGCGTGGCACCAGGTTATATTGCAATGGGTAGCATAAACTTTGGGGATAAGTACAGAAGAGATGGGCTGTTGTTCCGTTGACAGCAGCCTCATATTTACCAAATCCCCTTACTACATTTTCCGAAAATGTTGATAGATACTTCCTGCTTCCATCTGTATCTCTGTTTCATTTCATGAAAAGAAATGTGTTCTGGATATTCCAAAATGGGAACATTGAAACAATGCACCTTCATGAGGTTTTGAAAACTCAGTAGAATATAGACAAAATGAAGGCTTGCTTGGCAGGCTGAAACACGGTCAGCTTTCCCCATATCATGTTTGCCAGATGTGTTGGGTTCAGACTGCCATCATCCTCAAGCAACTGAGTTGTGATGGCTCCCAGGAGAAGGATAGCAGTTGAGTCCCTTTAGTTACTGGTTGCGACCTTGAAATCTAATAAATAAATATGGCAGAAGCTCCATTAAACACCTTTTGAGGGCACCAGGTAGGGAAAGTTGGTACTAGATCAATATTATCACCTTCCAAGTACACAGACATTTTTGTTGCCTGTTGCACTTTTATAGTTAATGGAAAATAAAAGTGAAGGCAAGAGTTAACAACCAGACTTCCCATCACAGGATAAAAACATCTCTGTCCTTGGAAAATTGATATGGCTATGGTGGGAGGACAAAAAAGTCACCGTTTAAATATGCTATTTTCTTTATCCTTTCTTCCTGCTTTGCATATTTTTCAAGTGCCCCCCTTGTCCGACAACCCCTTCCCCCATTTCAGTGTGTGCCCCCTTCTTTGAAAGAACGTCTTCCACAAGAGGAAAACCTTGGCCGGGTTACAAAATGCAGTAAGGAAAGGGAAGCTATACAGGAGCTAAAAATAAAAGAACTGCATCTCAAAGAATGGTAGTTACATCTGTTGAGCATTTGGAATCCAAGGCACTGGGGACAGGAGGTCACCCAAAGGTTTCTTTTCTCCCAGTAAAAAATAAACATAACCAAAACTGCACACTAGCGCAGCATATCTTTCCCAGCTCTGCTGAAGAATTGCCAGAGCTGTGACTAGAAGTATTCACCGATGACGCAAAATTCTATTTTTATAGACAAACCAGTATGCCACCGGTCAGCAGTCTGTTCAGATGGGAGCCATTAACATCTGAAAGGGTGGAAAAGAGAACTCTGTTAACCAGAGCAGTTTTCCTCCTGAACTTAATGCTAAGCAGAAGAGGACAGTCACCTTTTTAAAGCTTGGAACAATCCGTTTGTTTCCTGTCTTACGTTGTTGTGAATACAGATGCAGCAAGGAGGAGAAAAAACTTGGAAATCTTTGTAATTTTCTTCCTGCAGTTCCTTTAAATAAAGAGGGGCTGTGTTATGGGAATGCTCCAACATATGATTAAAATTCAGTAGGATGATCTCGCAACTCTGATATCAATTATGATGTTGGAGCCAAAAGAGCTGTTCCTTTATTCGATCAAAATAATGACTGAATATCTGAGCAATGACCTGGCTAATTAATGATGCATTAAGGGACCCTTGCCTGCATCACAAGACTGCTTTGTGAAATTTTCTCCCTGATTATACAGTTTTCAGTGTGAAAAGAATTATTTTAGTGGAGGAACAGACTGACCATGTCCTCCTGTAGTCTGGGAGTGATGCAGAGACGTTTATCACTCAGCCAGGACTTCTCATCCCTAATTCACAGTTTGGATCTTTGGGAATCTGAATAGTCCAGGTTTTTTTTTTCTTTCTTGGACTTCTTTTTCAGATAGATGAAATGAAAAGTGTACAGTATAATCTTGCCCTTCTTAAACTGAGTAAGAAAGAGAAGTGAAGGGTTTTAATTTAGTATAATGCGCTGGCAGAAAGGGCAGTTGCCCCTTGCAAAGTCTTATGTACTAATGCATGAAATTCCTGATTCTCAATGGAGCCTGGATGAGTGTTGACTGGCTGGAAGATGCACTTCATAGTTTCTGGGGAGAGAAATATAGTGGATGGAGTGACAGTGCAAAGTGGGTGAAGCCGAATAACCCATGAGCAGTGAGTGCAAGGACATCTGGGGTTTTGTACGTGTTTTTGGAAAGAAACTGGTTTGCTTGTTTTCTGTCTTAACTGTGTCATGCCTATTATAGGCTTAGAATATAAGACTCCCCCTCAAAATGGTGGGAAAATTGAAATTAGACGATGCAGTCAGAAGGGGTTTCAGGAACACATCTGGGGCTGGCATGTTGCCCACCGTTTATGATTTATGGCTCCCCATAGCAACATTGGGATGGGGACCGATTTGCTACAGGAAACCAGATATGTATTTTCCACACCAGGAGATAATGCCCTTCAGTGAACTCTGAACAAAGACCAAATTTTGCTTGAAGGGCTATCTTGGGGAGAAAAAAATGTAACTAGTATTTTCTGACCAAGCAAAATTCATCCTAAATTTTGAAATACATTCTGTTTCTTTCAAGTGAAAAGGGTAATTGAGGCCATGTATGTTTGTACAGTCTTCCAAAGTATGTAGAGTTACCCTTTGATTTTGCAGAACAACGTTGTTTTATTGCTGGACACAAACACTGGTGCCATACGCCGACTCTCACTGGAACCAGATATGCCAGAGTCTCCTAAAGGAATATCCTGGTGGGGGGGCAAGCAAGAGGAGGTAAGACATATCAATAGCATACCTATGTTGTGCAAAACTAAATATTTCAGTCTACTTCAAGCCCTCTTACAGTTGTTTCTGGCCTAGCTTTTAAAAGGGGCAGTGCATCTAAGGAAAGTTGACTTCCGTGTTCCCAGAAAGGGAGTGTGCTCCTCTTCAGTGGATGTTTTCAGGCATCATGACTAGACAACCATCACAGATACATGGTTGAATTCAGATTCCTGCACTAAGCAAGGTTGGACTCAGTGGTTAAATGGCTCTTCTAATTCTTGGATTCTACGGCTCTCTGAAAACTCACCTCATAATGTATTTGAACATTTTTTTAAGGCCACATTTTTTTGCTGCAGGAAGAAACATAGCTACTGTTTTAGGCCATTAGTATAGTGCTGTAAAAAAATACTGTATTGCCCTCTTTTGAATTTTCTGGATTTTTATAGATCTTAAAGACCCGGGTTTTGTGCTTGTTTTATTTCAGAAACAAACTCATCCAATATGTAACACGTCAGTGTGGAAAAATGTTCAGTCAATTTGATTAAAGGGATTAATTGATGCCTGTGGGGTGAATACCTTCATTAAACAATCAGGGCTGATTTTCTTAAGTTCTGGGGATGCGCCAGTCCACAGTCAGAGACATAGTCTGAAAATAGAGATTTGAGATAGTAATGGATCTTCTCAAGAACAGCAGTTGTGTAAAAATCACAGCATAGCATAAAAATGTTCAGGAAGTCACAAAGAATCCCAGAGCAGCAGCCAGCAATCAGTAGGTAACTCTTGCCTTAGCTAAAAATCAACGTTCATGACTCTCCCATCAGACGAACATTGGGTAAAAATGGCATTCATAGTAAGTAGGAAAGTGGAAGCCACTGCTCATTAAGAAACAACATTGATGCTCATCTCCAGGATGAATCAGGAAGTACCTCCAGATGTCTAAAGGAATATTCTATGGACAGATGAATCAAAAGTGGACATTTTCAGGTTATGTAGAGGTGTTGTGTCTGGCAGAAACCAAACTCTATACCAGGTGTCAAGCATGGAGGTGGTTAGAGACCCCTTGATACCTTAAGACCTGGAGATCTTGCATGGTTGAAGGACATACAGTTCTTCTTTGTATCAGAAAAATCTACAGGATGAAACAGGGCAGTCTCTGCATAAACTGAGGCTGCAGTGCAAGTGGGACTGTAATCTCAGGGATACAGACAAGTCTACAGGAGAATGGATGAAGAAGAAATTCATTCTTTTGGAAGAGCCACGTCCAGTCCAGACCTAAACTCCAAAGAAATGCTGTGGCAAGATATGGAAACAAATAGTCCAGGCTGAATAGCCCTCAAATGTTACTGAGTTGAAGCAGTTTGCTGTGAAGAATGGGCCAGAATCGATCACCAATTATAGACCTGCTTGGCGGTAGTTACCATAGCTAAAGGTGGTACAGTTAATGACTCTAAGGGGACAGTTGCTTTTTCACATTGACAATCTCATGTTGGATGAATTCATTTATGAAATCATGGGAACCAGCTCCAAAATGTGGTGGTGTTTGTTCACTCAGCACAAACACTTTGTACATCAGGAGGACCTACATAAAGTTCTGATACAAATGTAGGCAAAAATTCAGAATATCTGAAAGGAGGTGAATACTTTTTCACAGAACTTGTGTATGGACAATATGTTGTTAGCATTTTAGTTCTCGTCTTTAAACAAGCCCAGCACCTAAATTTCAGGTAACTGTTCAAGACTAGTTCTTTTCTCCGAATGATTCCTAAAAGCCCATATGGATTTCCCTCTTTCAATGCCTTACCTGAGCATATGAGTTTAATGGGCTATTCTAGTACCTTAGCAGAGGGTTTCCCTGTTGTGAAAGGGTTGTGTCTTAAGCCTTTTCAGGCTTAACACTCCTTGTTACACAGTCCTGCCACTCCATGCTTCACACTTATTTGTTCAACTTTAACTCTGCTAAGAGAGCATATCTTAAGGAGGTTATTTGTGTAGATACACAGTTAAATATTTGCCCTTTCTGTGGACGGGTCATAGGTCTACAACAATGAACAATGCTAAAATGAAAAGTTTACAGGGGTCTCAAAGATTGGTTTGAGAAATCATGTTTGTCTCCAGCTTGTTCATAACTCCAGCAGTTATCCAGTACAGTTATTATATATCTAGTTATTAAACATCTGTAATAATAGACTTACTGTATGTCCTCTGTATAATAGTCAGTACAGAAGCCTGTTGCAATTTGAATGATATAAATCGAGTGCACCCTACTGGAAAATTGAGTTACATGCTGTGATGATGTAGCTGCAGTCTGATAAAATAGGGGCCATTTTTCCCTACAGTGCAATTGTATGCAAATGCGTGGGTTGCCATGTAACATTTTATTTAGCACAGAGAACAGGAATCAAGGTTGGCATTTCTGGGAATGGACCCTCACGCCCCCGCCCCCCAAGTTAGATCTCTAAGGACCTTTTCTTGTAACAGCCAAGTATCCACCTGCAACAAATGCAGAGAAGCAGGGATTTTAAAGCTTTAGTCAATTTAGCAATTTGGCAGAGGTATTAAGATTGATTATTTTGTCTTTTCCTCCTCCCCCCTGCCCAGAAGACAAGTCACAAAATGTGCAAAGAATTTTCGCACAAGAACTGGCTGGTGTTCTACAAAGAGGAAGGGTAAGAATGAATTACTTATTTTCTTCGCTTTCAGAGGCATTCCGTCTCCTGTGACTCACCTAAGCCTAATCTTTAGCATTTGATCTTTCAGGAGCCATCTTACCGTTCTCGATGTCCTGGAGGGCAACGCGCATACCATCTCCTTGCCAATCAGCCTCAAGTCTGTCTTTTTAGTGGCTGAAGACCAGTGGCTCCTGACGGAAAATAAAACCAACCAGTAGGATCAACATTCTAATACAGATGCTTACATAATCTACTGTATATATAAACATAGATACAGGTGGTTTTCCCATACCTAAATTTTTACAGAAAAATATTTCTTTGTAAGCTCTGAGAAAAAAAAATTGCCTGCCTCTTCCTTTAGCAAACCTTCTGGCATGACTCAGCCAAAGCCAAGTATTTCTGTAGTCCTGTTGGTTTTCATGGATGATTCATCCACTTGATTTACTCCATTTCATTGAAATCAGTGAGATGGTAAGGCGCTAAATGTGGACTGTGAACATTAAGTCCCCAGTAAAGCATGTGGAAGTAATCTTTATGAAGAACCCAAACTATTTGCAGTTACAGCAAGAACGGAATCTATTTGTGCTTCTACATTAACTTTAAAACTAGAGAATTCCTTTTTCTACCTAGAGAAACAGATTTTTTTTTTTTCCTTTTTTCCTTTTTTCCTCTTTTCCTTTCTTTTTTTTATTTCTTTTTGTGGCTCCCTTCCTAGTTGTTACCAGGTGAGAATAAGGAACAGTGGCTGGGAATAATTGTATTATCAGCCTGTCTGGACACGAGCAGAGGGATATTGGGGATAATTATGTTCCTCCAATATCATGTGTTCTCATATTAATGTTTATGTTTTTTTTAAAAATTTATTTTTACCAGTTATGTACCGTTTCAGTCTAGATGGAGGAAAAGTGGTCTCGTGCACTTGGTAAAAGTTTTAGGTTTACCAGATTTTTCATGCAGACACCATCTACATGAAGCCTGTGGGCGAGGTCATCCGGCAGTGTGGGGGGCAGTATCATTAGTACACTGATGATACTCAGTTGTACATCTCCGCCCCAGGCTGGACAAGTTCAGGTGCTTACCCCATGCCTGGAGGCTATGACGATCTGGATGGAGTTGAACTGGTTACAACTCAGCGCTAGCAAAATGGAGTGGCTCTGAGTGTTTGGGTCCCCTGGAATTGGAGAATTGCCATCTTTAACTCTTGATGGGCTGACACTCCCCTGAGCAGAGTTGGTGCATAATTTGGGGTTCCTCCTGGACTTGCAGCTCCTGTTCAAGGAGCAGCTGGTAGCCATGGCTGAGGGTGGGGATAGCTTTTGCACAAATCCATTATATCCATTCCTGGACCAGGAGGCCCTGCTCATGGTCATTCACGCCTAAGTAATTTCCCAATTGGGCTACCACAATGCACTGCACACGGGGATGTCTTTGAGGACCACTTGGAAGCTTCAGCTGGCCCCAAATGCAGTGGTGACTGGTTTTCCACATTACACCGCCGCTGTGTGAGCTACATTGGCTCCCAGTTCCTTTCTGGGTGCAATTCTAGGTGCTGGTTATCACCTTTAATGCCCCACATGGCAAATGGCCCGTTTATTTGACCACCTCTCCCTGAGGATATCTAAGGTGGGCATGCTCCAGGTCCCCTCTATTAGATGATGTCATCTGACAAGACCTAAGAGGTGGGCCTTCTCCATAGCGGTGCCTACCCTATAGAACCCCCCTGAAATTTGGATGGGCCCTACCCTCCTGCCTTTCCACAAGGCCATTAAGACCTTGCTGTTCCCCCAAACATTGGACCAGGATGGGAGTTGAGCCCAGCGTGTGTATATTTGGGATAGGAATGTTATGGCACCTTGGCTGTGTGACATGGTTTCATTTTCTGTGTTTTATTGTCTTTTATGTTGTGAGCTGCCCAGAGTTACAGAGTTATACTGGCCATATAAATCTTTTAAATAAATAAATGAAAGGGTGGGTGACAGAGGAAGACAGGGATAAAAGGGAAGGAGTGTATGAGAAGAAACAGCTGATTGATAATTCAATTGTCAATAGAGTCAAAATGGTGCTGTTCAGCTATATTGATTACTTGAAGGCAGAACATGACCTGTTTCATTCTTCCTGGGAATCATCAGACATATGTCTGATCTTATTTTATGTGGTTCAAACCGGCATTTTTAATGGGAATCCTCTCTCTGAACTTAAAAGAAGGTGGGTTGTATATACTGTTCTGCTGCTCAATACCCATAGTTAGTTATCTCATTCATAGCATAAATCAGTATGATGTACAAAGCAGCCTTGAACCGCTCACAAGCTTAATCCACCCACACAGGCAGTAGCATCCATAACACACTGCAGTGATGTCAAAATGACTTCATGTGCATCATGATGTCATTGCACTAAGGACAGGTCCCATCATGATGTCATGTTACCTGAGTCATCTTTTCTCCCCCTTGCTTCACCATACGGATACCCATGCTTGCAGACTTTTATTAGGACACAAGCAGAAGCGGGGAAGGATCATGTATGGTACCTTCAAGTCCCTGGAAGAAAGACGAGATATTAAATTTGGCCAATTTAAATAACATGGATAATTCCTCATGATTTCCAGGAAGTACCTGTTGACTAAGCCAATGCATCTGGAAATGGAAGAGACTGGAGTAAGCCAATTACACGCACTGGCCGAGGAATCAGTGGAAACTGGATTTGGGCAAACAACAAGTATGGAATTTAAAACTGAATTGTCAGCATCTTTGCGGTTATTTTTGTTTGCTTTGTTTATATAATTATGAGAATGAAAAGTTTTAAGGAAACGTCAGTTCAGAGGATAGATTTGCTGAACTCAGAGTATTTTCCGATGGGCAACTCCTAGTGTTCCCTCTTCTCAGTATATGGTTAAAAATAAAAAAGTCAGAAGAAGCTGTGAAAAAAAAAATGGGAGGGTGGCAAATGGAAATAACAACTTTCTAACTTGCCTGAAAATCCCTAAATGAGGTGGGCTGTTATCACTATAAAAGCTTAACCAAGTAACAACATTCAAGTACTTCAGGCAGATAGGCTTGTCAAAACATTTTGCTGTAATTTGCCAGGAAAAAAAATCATCTAAAAGGTCAAATATACATTGAAAGGTAGATTTTATTAAACATATTAAAAAACAAGAGAAACACAGGAAAATGAACTACTAGTATATACCTCACTAATCTAAGCACAGAAAATGATATTAGGAGCATAATGGAGATATCGTCAGTGCCCAGCACTCCTTGATAGACTGAGAGATGAGCTGAAGAGAACCTACTCTTTTTAATTATATTTTCTATGGAGCTGAACAAGGTGATTGTTGAGTACCTTGTTTTACTAATCACAGAATTGCACATGAAGAGGAATACCCACTTTACTATCTCAATACCCACTTGAGATAGGAGGGCTAATTAAACAAAGGGTGAAGGTAATCTCCATCATAAAATCTGTTCAAGAGATTTCTTCAAGTCCAGTTTGCTCCTGAACCTAAATAACCTGATTCATCATCCCACTGCTCATCTTGATTTATGTTTTCAATAAACACCTATTTTGTATTTGTTTGCTTTGCTCTTCTGCCTAGTTTTTGAACCTTATGTGCCCCAGGCTGTTTCTCGGGATCAATTGTCTTCCGAGAACTTAAGCAGAGCAATTGAGCAGAAAATCAGTTCCCCCAATCGGATGTTCTCTAACCAGCAAGATTATGCAACTCTGGTGGTTGGATTCCCAGATCTCATGGTACGCTTTTAATTTTTTTTTTTAATTTAATTTAATTTTGAAAGTTCTGCATCCGTGATTATGTCCAGACCAAGCTTTCCTCAAACTGGGACGCTTTAGACATCTTGCATCTCAGCATTGTGCCTGCCCTGACCGATCAGTTGGAAAAGCAAGTTGCCGAGGTTGCATCATTTAGCTAGATTATGAAACCTGGACAAGCTGTACGGCATCCTGAAATAAATTTAAATAAAAAATCCTTAAGAAATTCGTTCTTGAATTGCAGGCAAGAATGTGTTTAGTCTGTTAATAAAAAGAACGGCCTTCTCTCTTCCAGTCTCTCTCTCTCTCATTCTCTCTCTCTTTCTCTCTCTTTTTGTTTGTTTGTTTGTTTGTTTGTTTTTGACATGTACCTAATTGCTATTCCCTTCCAACATTTGTGATTTTTCATCCTAGTAACAGAAAACTTTGATTCTTGGCATCATTTTCAAATAGAAGCAGCCCAATCAAATGTTGTTCTGACACTGTTCAGGTAGTTCCAAAGACTGGTGAGCTCAGGGATTTATCACTGCATGAAATACCAAAGAGGACCAGGGCTAGCATGAAAATCACTTTCTGGGCCCTGTCTCATCAGGTTTCAGGAGATGCTATTTGGGATGTGCTATCTAAGGGCCACCAAAACCCTGGAGCCAAAACTTCATTCAATCCATAAACCAGAAGTTAGCAACAATCTTGGCAGGAGAAGGACGCAGAACAGCCTTAGTTGTAATTCTGAGCTATATAAATGCTTGGATTTCAGTAAGCCGTTCCTGTGAACTGCTTAGTGCTGAAGTTCTAGTTGGAGTGCAAGATCTTCTCCCCCATCCACCAGCTTCTTCTCTGAACGGATTCTGGATGCCTTCTGGATATTGCTCACCCTTTCATTCCTTCATCATCTAGATAGCTTCTGTCTTTTAGAGCCTGAAGGTTTTAAATTAATATTTCATTTGGTTTTAAGGAGACACGTGTAATTTAACAGTAATGTACATGTTCTGTGTACTACAGTCACCCAATGAGGTTTACAGCTGGAAGAGAGGCTCCCCCCTGGGCAGTAGACAGTTTTCACCTGCTGATCCACTTTATTATGGAAAACGTAGCAAAAGTGGAGTGGCAAAACAAGCCAATTGTGTGACTCTTGCTGCTGCTAATCAAGTGGTGAGACTTTTAGCCCCTGGAGATGTGCCTCTGAAGGAACTATATCCTAAAGGTAACCCAACTTCTTATTTTCTTATATCCTATATTCCTCAAGTCTCATATAAATAGAAATACTAACATGTCTTCTTCCTCAAGCTGTTTCATCCTATATACTACCAAGTAAAATGCATAGAAATGAGCTGTAAAATTTATTGCGGAAATTAGACAAGACTAGAAGGTTTCTTTGAAACCAGTTGAGTTTTATATTAGGCAAGGATCTAATCAATTTCATGTATGGTGATTGCTTTGAAGTTAGGGTCATTTTCTCTTTGGATACAGAGTAAAGTTTAGGCACCATGGGATAGTAGATGCATAAGGAGGCTGTGAATTCTGCACTTAGCCCCATTCACTGAACACGTGCATGGCTGAAGTAGAAAATGTCTTTTACATAGGTTTATCAACACCTTCCACATTCACAAATTATTTCTTATCTAAATGCTGGTGCACTTTAGTCCTGTATTTCAACACACGTCTATAAACTTGATGCTGAAAAGATGAGTCATTTGTCTTTGTTCGCTTCCATTTCAGTGTAATTAAGGATTAGAGGCATCTGTGGTAGTGAAGGAGAAATCCAGTGTTCAGAGCTATTGAAACAGAGTGTGCTTTTTATAATCTCTTGTGCTTTAAAAGAGCTGAACTGAAGGTGGGGAAAGGAACTTTGAACTCATTTATCTCAATGTATCTCTCCGGCATTCTCTTTTTCTAGAGCTGTTAAAAATGCTCTTTAAATATGTTTTCAACCTAGTGTTTGTTGTGAGTTGTTTAAGATGATTGCAGTCACACGTGATTAACTTTTATTTGTGTTTATTTATATTTCAGCATTCAACTGAATAAATATCTGTCTTATTTCCTAACTTTAAATGTCTTACTATAGGAATAATTTGAGTTATTACTGTACTTTCCAGTACCTCTCCTGATAAAATATTTTAGAATGTTGTAGAGATGTGATTTATCAGGGTAATTAATTTGAATTACAAAATCTCTCCAAACATTTCTGTTTGCAGATGTTACTCCTCCCCAAACTGCTGGATACTTGGAAATTACAGATCTTACAACTAAGAAGATTAAATATATTCCTATTCCCGGGTAATTGTATTTTATTATGTAAAATATCTCACATCAACTGTTGGAGTCAGAGGACCAACAGAGAAACATTGCTTAGGTTTTTCACAATCTTTGTAGACAGTGTAGGGGGACAACTGTGTTAATTTATGGTAGCAAAAAATCAGAAGATGCTACCAGATTCCTTCTGATTTTCCACAATCTTTGGTAATACATATCAACGGTCTTTCAACCCTACTCAGAAATAACTTACCGAAGAGAACAATGGAGCATCAAGTTTTTAGTTAGAGGTATAGAGATGAAGGTATCTATCATCTTGCTGTAGAAAGAAAATAATATCTGTTACCTTTGGTACTGGATTTACTGGAAACCCACATTCTTCTAGGGATGAATGGAAGGGTGTCAAGACATAATCCAGTCTGAATCAATCTTTGCTTTCTTTTTGTAGATCACAGTAGGGTTAAGGGAAGGCTGAAAATCCAAAACTTTCTGACTTGAGATTTCTTACAGCTCTATAACTTCCCAGCAAATAAACCTTTACATACAAACTTCTCTCAGACTGTCATTCTTGGGACTGAGAAAGGCAGAAGCAGTGGACTCCAGTTGCGGTTGAGATATCAAGCTGTCAATGCTTGTCCAAAAATGAAAGTGGGTAAATAGAGAAATCCAGAAGAACTGAGTTCAAAGCAGAGTGGAGTCATGATACTTAATGGGAAACTGACCTAGCTACTGTTTCTGTGATTCTCCCAAATACAAGCCCGCTTTGGCTTCTGTGCTCTTTGGAGAAAGAACAGGCTAAAGATGATATCATCATCATCATCCTAAATTACTGTAATCATGCAAAATACATCCATAAATATAAATAATAGTCCAAACTAGGCCAATAAAGATTAGTTAAGATCAACCTATTCTTAAAAGTTTGCTAGAATCAGAAGTCTTTATATTGCTTTCATCTTCTTCAAAGTTTAGCAGCATTTTAAATTAACCATAAGTGGTGATTATATTATCCAGAAGGGATGCCTGTGGTGGTAATATTGCTGCAGTTTATATATGAGCTTCTTTTGGTTTTCAGATCAATGAATCTGTCTCCGTACACATCCTGGCTATCAATGATTTCAGACACTGATGCCTTGTTGGCTTCACTAGGGAAAAATGGAGTGGTGACTGTAGACATGGGGGGCAATATCAGACTCTGGGAAACCAGTCTAGAAAGTCTTGAAAAATCACTCCAGGAATGGAGAACCATGATCGGGCAAGAGGATGGCAGGCCTGTGCAGGTAAGATGAAGCATTTTGAATATTAGAGACTCCTAGTGTTTTGTTTGGAGAGTAACGCAGAGGAGGTAGTGAGTTCCTGGGACTGAAGTTTCTTCAGAGAAGAAGAGAACATCAGTCCTTGTGGTTGGTAGTCATTATGAAGATTTCAGGTAAGTCAAGCCTGGTTTAAGTAGAAGTCATAATGACTACCAGTCACAAGGATTCAGACCTGAATGGTGTCTTCTTCAAACTCTAGAGTGAAGCAACAGATAGCAGTAGTTTAGCACACAGAAATGCCTCTTCTGGTGTCCAGGGCAGCATTTCTGTGTGCTTAACCCCGTTACCTGTTGCTTTCACTCTAGAGTTTGAGGAAGACACCATTGAGGTCTGAATGTAGATCTAGTACCATGAACCCACCCAGATCTGAAAATAGAAAGACAGACTAGTCCCCTTCTGAAGGAAAGACTGTCTCATCCCGTTTTAGACCCAGGAACATTTTCTAACAAGATAATTGTTTGTTAGACAACAACCTCCCTCCAACATTATTTAGACCTGATAGGGTGATTGTAAACAAGGATGCGAAAAGCAAACAAGCTTTCCATGGATCATTTCTCCTAAGCCAGACTCGCCTTGTGTGTGATGTTTTATGTTTACTGGAGCTAGTGCAACTGCTTGCATGTTCTTGCTCTTGGAGTCGTTGAATGTCTTTCATAGGTCATGAGAAAAAACAAAAATTTCTGGTAGCCTCTCATATTTATTAGTCGGCCTGTTTCATCCCTTCTCTTGGTAATAAAGTGGCATCAGCGCCATCTGCTGGTCAGAAAGGAATATCTTGGATGCAGATGTAGTTCTTAAAACTGTAGTTTCCAAGCGGTGAGATGGAGAATCATGCAGAGATTTTCAGGAATGAGAAGAAATGCATGGGCAAGCAAGAATTTTCTTTTCTCAAAATTGCAGAAATTCCTGAAGGCAAAGTATATATTTGGATACGTATTTGGAAGATTGTTTGATATTGCACCATGCGGGCATGGTTTTCCGTAGTTTCATATCCGTAATTACAATAAAGTAAAGTAAGAAAGTAAAGTTCACGTGGTACACAAAGAGTAAAGAAAAATCCTACGTGCATGTTGGTCAGGCATTTTCTCCTAATTGGGTGGAAAATGTGCTTGAAGGCCCAGCAAATCTTTTGACAAGTGGGAGAACTATTTGGAATACCATCAGTTGCAGCATATCCTCTGCAGACAGAGATACTCTAGTAAAGGTAAATTCATTCATAACTCTACAGAATTTAGCCTGTGTGTAATCTTCTGCTAATAACTTCTTATCTTCCTACCTGCCATTGCTATCTGTGGTGGATTACTTGGAAATGTCAAGGTTTAAAATAATCAGGAGTGGTTTGTATTGGTATATATTTGCAGAGCCGTCATTGCGAGATAATTCCAGTCCTCATTCTGTATCTATAGAGAACAGAGTGATTGCAAAGACGATAAAACATCTCCACCCTTTTGGGTCTTCACAGAAAATGTTTAAGATTTCTTGGATGTGTATAAGCTGTTGACAATTTAGCTTCCTTGCTCTCAAGCAACAAGGAAGAATTCTAGCAACATGGATAGGGACACCCTGGAAAAAGAATCACTGATGACAGATTCATGGGTTTTTCTGGAAATGAAGCAAAACAATGGCATAATGTAGAGTTTCTCAAAGTTTGCAATACTGTGCCCCCCAGTGCTAAACGTGCAACCTTCCTCATGAATAAAACTAAATGATAAATAAAAGAATAAGTAATAAATGAAAGTGCTGCGATTGGCAGATGGTTTTGACTCATGGGTTTATCCATCTCTCAAATATAGCTCCAGGCTTTGCTCCCCACTACACCAGTACAGGCTTGCCAAGTCAAAATGGCAGCCATGACCCCACAGTCATAGCTCCGCTCCCTTTTATGTGTATCGTCACATACATAAAAAGGGGGGCAGGGTCCAATCGCCCAGTCAAAGCATTATCTTGACTTCTTTGACACCCTTTCCCAGGTGGACATCTCTGCTCTGTTGTTTGCCCAGGTAAAATGGGAGTGAGTTTTGAGAGTTTTGCCTACATTAGCCTGATCAGCATTTTAAAAAAAATGTGACCGACCCACTCCATGTCATAATGATCTCTCCCAGTGGGTCATGACCCACACATTAGGAACTTCAGGAAGAATATAGAGTTTGCTTGGAAGCACCCTGATCTAGTAAAGTGACTAAAGCATTGGGATTTTATTTTGATTCAGTCTTTACATATTATTTGCTCCTTTATGTGACATGAATTTTTGGAAATGTCAAATTCAGTCAATTCTCCTGCTGCTGATGTAGCTTCTTAGAAGCTAACTTCTAAAATAACCCATCCATCTATAAAAAAAAGTTCATTTTTCTTTTCAGCTGATTTCTCTTAGGAGCTTTGGTCATTAGATTTATTTATTTGTTTGTTTGTTTGTTTGTTTATTTATATGCTGTCCATCTCCCCCAGAGAGTGACTCTGGGCAGCTTACAATTAAAATCCAAAACAATAAAAACAATAAAAATATAAATATCCACATTAAAATACGTAACTAGTTCCTATTCTATATAAAAGCCTATCTACAATTCAAGATGATGGGGGGAGCAATATCGATTATCCCACCAGCCAATTCCAACAATGCAAGCCCCCATCAGGCCCCCAGGCCATCTGGCATAGCCATGTTTTTACACTTTTTCGGAAGGCCAGGAGAGTGGGGGCAGCCTGCACCTCAGATGGTAAGCTGTTCCTCAGGGTGGGGGGCATGGCAGAAAAGATCTCTTCCTAGACCCTGACAGCCAGAATTCCTTGACTGGTGGGGTCCGCAACATGCCCCTTCTGCTGGACCGAGTGGGGTGGGCAGATATAACGGGCAAGACAGCTCCTCAGATAACCTGGTCCCGTGCCATGAAGGGCTTTAAAGGTGATAACCAACACCTTGAATTGGACCCAGAAGCAAATGGGCAACCAATGCAGCTCGCGTAACAGGTGTTATATGTGCCACCCTGGGGGTGTTCAAAACTGTCCATGATGCTGCATTTTGCACTAGCTGTAGCTTCCAAATACTCTTCAAGGGTAGCCCCATATAGAGCACATTGCAGTAATCCAAACAGGAGGTGACCAGGGCCTCCTGATCCAGGAAGAGTGTAACTGACACACAACATGAAGTTGCACAAAGGCCCTCCTAGCCATGACTGCCATCTGCTCTTTGACAAGGAGTCGTGAGTCTAGGAGTCTAGGACCCGGTGCGTAACCCCCAGGTTACGCACCGGGTCTGTCTGGGGTAGTGAACCCCACCCAGAACCAAAGGTCCTAGATCTTGAGGTTCTCCATACCCACAACCACAGCATCACTTAGGAGCGCTCCTATTTAACATCTACATGTAACCGTTGGGTGAGATCATCCAGCACCATGGGATAAGGTATCATCAGT